CATAAAAAATAAAATTAACAAGATTTAGAAATAAGGATTTTTTCTGAGAATTTTATTTCTTACTTAGTTACTTATAAATATTACTAAAATGAAGATATATAATTTAAAAATGTGACACCTTATATGAAGTAACTATTGTAGTGTAGTTATTGTGATCGGTGTTTCAATACAAAAAAACCACGAGATTTATAGGGATTTTGGCAGAGATTTGGAAGGAATTTTGGCAAGAAAATGCCAAATCCGTGCCTAAAACACTTTGGCACGAACTATTTGGCATGAAAAATCAGTAAGTCCGTGCCAAATTCCGTGCCAATCCCGTAATTTTTTTGTAGTGTTTTGAATTGTACGTTGTAGTTGCCATGATATTATCTTGATAGTAACTTACTAACTTTAATAAAACTTGACATAATTGTACATTGTAGTACTTATAATCACACAAATTAACCTATAATTTTAATTTAATTTGATGTGTAAAGTCTATATGTATCGCTAACTTGGTGAAAAACTAGGTAACACAATATGTACAATCAGTGGCGGAGCCAAAATTTTCACCACAATTTGTACAGGAATTTTGTACATGCTAAGGTAGTAAGTAATTATTTTCTCACTCCTTTTCTCTTTTCTCTATAATGAGTGATATATGTGTGGTGTTCAATCACCACATTTGTTAAAATAATAATAACAATGTATAAAATAATCATTAATTACCAAGTTTAATGTAACAAAGTTGATTGGGCCATAAAATAAATTGAACAATAATAGCAGCACTAATTATGCACCACTTTTTATGGTGTACTATACAATTTATTTTTATTCAATCAAATAGGACCCTTTTTTCAGTTGATGTCTACAGACTACATATAATGAATGTGAATATGTGATGTTCACAAGGACTCCATTTACATCTTGAAGGCTTGAAGCTGCTAACATATTTTACAAATTATATTTGAAATTTGCGGCCCAACTCAGTATATTTATAGTTAGTTAATTATGGAACTTGAGTGATGGTGGGACATATAAACAAGGCATCATATCACAGTTGTCTATTACGCCTTGAAGAGTGGCACTTGTAATTCCCAGAGCTATAAAACTAGCAACGTGAGATGTTGGTAAGGGACTAAAACGACGGCATATTATGATATATATATAATATTAATATTAAATATTAATAATTAATAATATTAAATATTAATAATTAATAATATTAAATATTAATAATTAATAATATATAGATGAATGAATGTGAATAATAATCACAAGTGTTAGGCTGTGTCGTACTTTTTCTTTAATAGTGTCATCTAATGATCATGAAGTCAAGACGACCGGATTAATTGCTAGGTCGGTGGACAACTTACCCACCATACCATATTCTATTGTGTGAGTTTGAATTTGAATTTGAATTATCATTTTAAAATTCGAAATATGAATATAAATATATAATCAAAATTATTCAGTTCATTTTATTCTTTCTTTCATATTAGTGGTCTTTGCTTGGGATTATCATTCCTAAACTACACAGGATCAATTCCCATTAAATTCATTAGATACATAATTCACTCCAAAAAAACTACGAGATTGACAGAGATTTTGGCAGGGATTTGGCAGGGATTTAGGCATGGAAATGCCAAATTCGTGCCAAAAACACTTTAGCACGAGTTATTTGGCACGAAAAATCGGTAAGTCCGTGCCAAATTCCATGTCAATCCCGTAATTTTTTATAGTGATTAGTCTTATTGAGTTTTTGGTAATTTACATGTTTTGTGATGTCATCGGTTTTTAGAGGAAAAAGGAATTGTAAACTGAAATTTTGTGTAGAAAAACGTAACGTTTTTCAATCATGTATTGAACTGACTTCGTGATTTTAATTTTAAACTACAATTTTGTAGACACAATCTATACTTTATGAAAAACATCTTTACAAAACTTCATAAAAAATTTCACCAGATAATATATTCATATGTTTGTTTTTTATAAAAATAATTATAATTATAATTATAATACTACTACTACTAATAATAATAATAATAATAATAATAATAATAATAGCTTGTACCTGAAATTATGGTAATCATGTCCATTCTGTTTTTTCCCCAATGACTTGATTTACCGTATTTAATTTAATAGCATAATTTATTTACATGGTGAATTTACTTTATATCATTTAATTTAATCTGGAGCATTAAATCCCCAGTGTTGACCCTCGTTTACGGTGCAAGTACATAGACTTGCAAATTGCGATATATGTGCAAATAGATTTTGTTACTATAAGAAACAAACAAAAGACGATTGACAAAATCATTGAGTACCATGCCTGGACTTTGATTGACAATGTGCACGTGTTTTGGTCTTCTTTATCTTCAGATTAAATACCCGACTTCAATTTTAAAAAATTCAAAAAATCTGTCTTTCGTTATTTTTCAATAATTTATTTAGCTAACTTTTCCATTGAATTTTAAATTTAAATTTTATGAACACAAATTATACTTCATTAAGATCGTGATAAAAAAAACGGGTATTAGCTCTTAGTAGGAGTAAAATAAGCCAAAAATTCAATAATAGAAGTACAATTCTTTTATTCCCAAAATAAGAGCCCGTTTGGTAGCACGAAAATGGGCTGTTTTGGCTGATTCTGCTGAAATTTATGAAGTTCTGGTCGAAGTGGCTGCATTGGCTGATTCTGCTGATACAAGAAAAAATATTTTAAAAATATATTTTATTAATAAAATAAAGAAAAAATTATATGTAAAGATAGCTAAAATGACCATCTACAGTAACTTCAGCCAATACAGCCAGAAAAGTAACTCCAACCTTACTTTTTCGGCTTATTACACAATTCAGCGCGCGAAAGCAAAGTTTATGTGTTTGGTAAAAAAGTTGGTTGATAAGTCTGATAAGCCGAAAATGATGGTTGCCAAACGGTCTCTAAGACTAATATATGTTTCTTCTTCTCATTCTATCCGCTTCCTGTCATTTCAAATAGATTTATTTTATTAATAAGAAAATCATAGTTTTATTTATAATAAAAATATAAAAAATAATTAAATATTTATAAAATAATAATGAAAACGTGAAAAAATAAAATAAAAATAAAAAAATTAAAAATAAAAAAAAATTAAAGAATTTTAAAAAAGTCCAAAAACTAAAATAAAATACCTAAAAAATATTTAAAAAATATGTAGGTCACTGCCAACGCGTCCTCTACCTCCCAGCACCACCGACTCCGGTTGCCAGAAAAAAATGTCATCTTGGGTAAAAAATGCCACATTTCTCTGAAAATAGCATAAAGATGGCATTTTTACTCTTTGAAAATATCCAGCTTTCTCTTGCTTTCTCTTTAAAATTGCCATTATTATGACATTTTTTCCCCAACTTGGCAATCTTTTCCGACGACCGAAGGTAGCGGTGCTGGAAGGTGGATGAGGTGGTGGTTGGGGTCTGTAAATTTTTTAATTATTTTTTACGATTTTATTTTTTTTATTTTGATTTTTTATATTGTATAATGATTGTTTAAAAATCCTATTATCAAGGACAAAGGAAAGGGTAGAATAGGAAGAGTTGGTCCTATTTTGGAAATTTAAACTTTAAACTCCTATTGTTGCAATTATTCTTTTATTTATTCCTATTTAGGTAAATCTCCCTAAAAAATCATCAAAAAATCATCAAGAACCATGCCAAACAGAGGTGTCCGGAGTAGGGGTGGACTCGGGTCGGGCCAACCGGCCCGAAACCGGACCGGCCCGCTACTGTGCGGGCCCGGACCGGCCCGGTGAACCGGTTGGTTGGCCGGTTCGGGCCACCCGGCCCGGTGGGATGTCGGTTCGGGCTCAGGCCCTTCAAAAGGTGAACCGGCCCGGCCGGTTCGGGCCCGGCCAATTTTTTTTTTTTTGAATTTTTTTTAAGTTTTTGGGTTGGGCTGGGTATGTTGGGCCATTTGAGATGGTTAGGGTTGGTTTGGGGGTGAGGAGGGGGGGTTGGGGGTTAACTAGGAAAAGCCAAAAAAAAATAGAACCGAGGCCCGGGCCGGACCCCGGGGGTTACCCGGGCCGGTTCCGGGCCTCCCCTTCATGAACCGAGGCCCGGCCGGTAGGGGTGGACCGGTTCCGGTTCGGGCCCGGTTCGGACCTGGGCCCGGCCGGGCCTCGGTTCAAGAAGGGGAGGCCCGGAACCGGCCCGGGTAACCCCCGGGGTCCGAGCCGGGCCTCGGTTCTATTTTTTTTTTTTTGGCTTTTCCTAGTTAACCCCCAACCCTCCCCCACACCTCCAAACCAACCCTAACCACCTCAAATGGCCCAAAATGCCAAGCCCAACCCAAAAACTAAAAAAAAAAAAAAATTGGCCCGGCCCGGACCTGAACCGACCGGGCCGGTTCACCTTTTGAAGGACCCGAGCTCGAACCGCCATCCCACCGGGCCGGTTGGCCCGAACCGGGCCCGGAACCGGTTCACCGGTCCGGGCCGGGCCCGCACAATAGCGGGCCGGGCCGGTTGGCCCGGCCCGAGCCCACCTCTACCGGCCGGGCCCGAACCGGAACCGGTCCATCCCTAGTCCGGAGGGGATGACTGGACATGATCCTTTCCATCGAATTTGTCTTTTTAATGTCCCAAAATCAAGGATAAGTTTCCTTTTTATAAATGATCTTAAATGTTGTCGAGTTGTTAATAGTTTATCATTCGTTTTATTTAGATTTAGAACTTAAGATTTTACAAGAATATTATCAAAAAATAATCATCGGACAAAAAAAGAGATCATTTTTTTATTTTCAAAAAATGAGACTAAAATAAATACTCCGTATGATTATAATCTATTAGAGCGTCATTGGACGAGTGCAATCGTGCAGATCAGAGGTGGAATCTGAGTATCTGACTACAACAAGAGCTATTTATGAAATTTGTAACAAGTCCAATATTACATGGTATGATAGACATTCCTGGTGGTAATCCACTTATCCGCCTAGTTGTATTGTTGATGCTTTGAAATTGGATTTTATTAATGGCAATTAAATTTATTTTCTCCAAAAATATATTTAATACGGAGTAGTTATTTAATTAGTGATTGACATATCAAATATACAGTATTTATCATTTGACATAAAAAATGCTGTGCAGTGCATGTTACTCATTACTCACTAACTTCAGTAATACAAAATAAAATGAAATTACATCAGTGATAAGATTTCTAAGCATATTTGAGACCATTTGTTGCCAACCTTTTTACCCGTTACTGGGAAATGGGATATAACAACCAGCTAGTTCCTGATAAATATTGACACGCATGGGATGAGATTTTTCTTTGATAAGTAGAGCATGCCAGAACGCAGTAGCCAAGAAACGCGCATTATAGGTTGGTTCTCTTTAGACTTTACCAGAATTTGAGTATCTAGCTTTTTTGTCGCTGGGCAGCCTTTCTCAGTTTCTCCAATACTGAATCTTCAAACGCCTGATATCCTGCACCAACAAGTTTGTCCTCCACCAGAGGTGCTGCTGACGGTTTGATCGTCACGAGAGGCACAACCAACAGAGGATTAGAAAGGTCTCCCAAAACAACCCCGCAAACCAATTCAACAGCATCTTTGGATGCCATAACAACAAGAGCCGACCCTTTTCTCTTAGAACTTTTTATCACAACGTCTTCCACCTCACCAAACTTGCCAAATAACTCCCTCAACCGTTGTGCAGTATAATCCACCACGCCAACCTTCTCCCAAGAGACTTTAAGCACCTTCTCTTTATCTACACTAACAGCCCCCTTACTAGTAGCTTGGGCGTGATCCCCCGCTACTCTCTCTTTCACCAAAGTGTGGGTTTTGTTAGCATGCATTGCACGGATTCTTGCAATTTCCTCTTTGAGTTTTTTGGCGATGCGTTCTTCATCTTCTCGGGCTCTCGCCACGTCATCATCTGTTTGGAACGCAGAACGCTCTCTTGCATCAAGGTCTGACATCATCTTCTGGCGCTTCGCATCTTGGTGAGATTGGCGTTTTGACTTCTCGTGTTTAACCCGGAGTAGATCGTCAAATAGTTTCCTAGCTTTCTCGTCCTTGAGAATCTCGTATGAAGTTTTCAGCTTTTGGAAATTCATGTGTGCATTTGGATCATCAGGTCTCTTGTCGGGATGCAATTCCAATGCTTTGGAACGATACGCTTTGGATATCTCTTTTTCAGAAAGCTTGGATCCTTCTTCACCGGAGGGTAAGCCAAGAACATCATAATGGTCGATGTGAGAATCCATGTTGTCAGATGTTTCCTCAACTGCAAGCAGATCTGAACAAAAAGGTTTACTTTGTTAATGTCATTCAAAGAATTTGAGCAAATAATTCCTTCAAAAGAAGTCTTTTATAATCTTTTTATATATTATCCTGACATTTTTAAATGAATTACAATAGCTTTCCCCACTAAACTAAGGAAAAAAAGAATTACGGTCTCATTATTGAGAGTGCAGATGGTAAAAGTGGAAAAAACACATTGAGGAAAAAAGTGAAAAAACTACATTAAAGGAGTCATTAAATTTTCTTAGTGCTGAAAACAGATGAATGGAAGTACAACAACAAAAAATATCACATGCCCTACTACCATTAGCTTAACATTTTGCAAAAAAAATCTCAAATTGTTGAACTCGGTTAATAATAGCTTTCTTTATATACTGCTATTTTGGCAAAATACATGGATTTTTACATAAAAACATTTTCTTGTTACTTAAGTAAGTGTAAGTATGTAATAGTCATGTATATTGTGTGATTATATTGGCAAATTACATGAATCTTTACATAAAAACACCTTCTTTATATGCTCTTATGACTACCTTAAAGTTCAAAAACATGTGTTCAACCTGATGATTTTGGTTAATATACAATTAGTACAAACCTCTGACATTTTTTATTACTTTTCATATTACGCTCTACTGTGTTTTTTACTTTTCCCCCGGTTATTTCAAATATACTTTCTTATTGTTGGGCCTTTAGCCCTTTAGAACTGGAAGGAACTGCTTATTTTGAACTTTGAACTCACACAAATTAAAGACACTTGTTAGTCTTCATCTGTGTAACGTTACATTGATCAAACTTTAAGTAGTAGTGTTGTACTACAAATACCGATGCAAAGCCCAGACTTCGTGTTCAAAAGATTGCAATACTTTTAGTGATTAAAATTTCAAGTGCACAATTTTACAGGTGGGAAGAAAATGATAAGTTTGAAAACGAAAATATCATACACCTTACTTAATGAAAGGTAAGACACTTGCTGATCTTAATATATGTTTAGTGATCAAACTTTTTAAATCTTTCTGTAAAGAACTTTAAAAATCTGCTTGTATTCAATCAGTGCAAAGAAAGCCCAAGGGTATACCCACTTAGTCACCATTCCCATAGCAATTGCTCTTAGTTTCCAAATAAAATGCGGAATAAACTTTTTAGACCTTCTACTTCCAAGTACATCATTTTTAGGCCTACTATTTTGTACTATTGTAGTAACAGGTGATTTACATGACTATCTATCTAAGGCTATCCGCAATGCTAGGGGTGAAAATCCCAAATATAAGGTTTTCATCCCCAAATGAACTGCAACCCAAAGCAAAATTAGTATAGGAGAGTCTTATAGGTGGATTGGGGAAACCCCAAGAGTGAAGATTAGGACGCTCTATCCCCTCTGGAGAGAGAGGATCAGAAGATCAGATGATGTGCACAGGTAAGAAAAAATAAATGGGCTCCATACAAACTAAAAATCCCAATTTTTTAAAAATGATATAACTTTTTTATTTATAATCCAATTTTTACAAACAATATATCAAAATTCATAATTTTTTATGATCTTTCAAATGACATCAATATCACATATACTAGTGGAGTACACACTACGTGCGAATGGTGCCCAACATTTGCGTACCCTCTCACGAAATTGTTGTGCTAATCTTAATTTGAAATTTTATTCAACTGCCTAAATCTACCTTGTCTCTTTACCAGGCTTGTCACGGCGTCGCCTAGGCGTCGCCTAGGCGTCGCCTAGGCGCCGACTAGGCGTCCTGGCGCTAGGGACAGCTCGCCGGAGTTACTCGCCTCGCCGGAAGAAGAAAAGGCGTGCCAGGCGTCGTCCAGGCGTCGTCCAGGCGTGATGAAGGCGACAAGTCGGCGACTTCTTCCCAAGTCGAACAGAACCGGCCCGCAAAGCGCAAGCCCAGATTACCCAGAAATCCAGAATCCCAGATGCGAATCAAAATAGAATAATAGATTTTAGGAAACTAATTTTAGGAAACTAATTTGATTAATTATGTATAAAGCCCAGACTCCTTAATTATTAAACTTACGAAATACGATTATAAGAAGCGGATTAGCGGACAACTTCCCACTTCCCAGAAATCCAGAAGCAGACGAAACACTCCAGGAAGAAGAGGTCTCGGCCGTCTCGCAGTCTCGCCCTCTCTGCCCTGTCCTTGGCTGAAGCAGACGACTTCCCAGTTCCCACTTTCCCAGGTTCAGCTCTCAGTCTCTCTAGTCGCTTCTCGATTTCTTGTTTCGTAGAGAGTTAGAGAGTTAGTCGTAGTTTGTACACAGAAGTTTGTGTTAGACTCTTAGTTAGTAGTTACAGAAGTTTTTTATTATTTTTAATCAAGTTTTATAGTTATAACTTATACAGTTATACTCGTATATAATTGTATATAAATCAATACATATTATTGTTTATATTATACACATATAGTATTCTTACTTATTAATCAATTTTATACATATATAATCAATACATAATTACATAGTTATACGCATATAATAAATTATGTATTTTAGTTGCATACACGTGTGCTCCTATGAAGCTACTGACTAATGACTAATGAGCTGCTGAGTATTGTTTAATATTCATATTTTTAGAAAAATGTTATTATTACAATTTTCAGAGAAATATTAGTGAATGGGTCAAGTTTTTTAAATTTTAGGATTATTTATTATAATTTATAATTTATACAGTGTATAATGATTTATTATTAATTTTATATTGGTTGGGTGTATTACTGTATTGTTAAGTTTTCATTATTTTAAAGTTTAAACTAATTTTGTATACATATTAGTTATGGCGGACAATGAAGGTGAACCCGTGTATGATCCATCTAAAGATCCTGCTAGAAGAGCGAAATCTGATGACCCAGGGTGGCACCATGGATTTTGGCCAGACTTGAACAATAAAGACCTCGTCCAATGTCAGCATTGTAATAAGCAAATGTGTTCTGGCATAAAGAGATTGAAGCAACATTTAGCAGATATGGAGATGTTGCTGTATGTCCTCATACGACAACAGAACTCATGAGGGAGATTGGGAGATGCGAGAATATCTAATGAGAAAATCAAGAAAAAAACCGATCCACATTGAAGATGATGACGATCAAGATGATGTTGAAGTACCTTTGACTCAAATAGATACTTCAACTTCTCAACCGAGTTCTGGGACAGCAACCAAGAGAAAAAATGCTGCTTCACAATTCTTTAATGTTCCACCAAAAATGCCCAAACAAAACAAGTCAATTGCCTCCATCATTCGCAAAACTCCCGAGGAGGTTGTTGATGAAAGACATACGAAAGGCCCCACCCAAACTACACTAGAACAATGCACAAAAAGCGAGGAGAAAGAGAGGGTCTTCATGCACATTGCTGATTTTTTTTATGAAAACGGCATTCTTTTTAATGCAGCAAACTCAAGGAGTTATGAGATCATGGTGGAGTCAATTGGGCAGTTTGGACCAGGACTTAAACCTCCTAGCTATCATGAGTTGCGTGTACCACTTCTTGAAAAAGCAAAGAAAAATACAGAGAAGCTCAGAGAAAAACATGAACTTGCTTGGAAGGAATACGGGTGCACACTCATGTCTGATGGATGGTCTGATCGAAGGAATCGACACTTGATTAATTTCCTTGTCAATAGTCCAGAAGGTACTTTTTTCCTAGACTCGGTTGATGCATCAGGTGAATCTCAAGATGTAACATTGCTAGCATGGTTGCTTGAGAAAAAAATTGAAGAAGTTGGAAAAGACAATGTAGTGCAAGTGGTGACAGACAACGGCTCTAACTATAAGGCTGCGGGAAAACTTCTAGAGCACAAGATATCCACGCTTTATTGGACTCCATGCGCTGCACATTGTTTGGATTTGATGTTGGAGGATATCGGTAAATTAGCCGATTTCAAGCCCCACATTGAAAAAGCAAGACGTGTGACTACTTTCATTTACCGGCATACAAGAATCCTCCATCCAATGAGACAAAAGACGGGTGGGAAGGATCTTGTAAGACCTGGAGTTACTCGATTTGCAACAGCGTTTCTCACTTTGCAATCTCTATATAAACACAGAGAAGCATTGAGAAATCAATTTAGCGGTCTGGATTGGAGTAGATCTAAATTGGCTGCCACAGAAGCAGGAAAGAAGGTTAGTGAGATTGTGTTGTCTGTTAGATACTGGAGTGCAGTGGAAGATTGCATACGAGCTTCACAACCACTTTTAATTGTCTTGAGGATAGTTGATGCTGATGAGAAACCGGCTATGCCAGAGCTTTCACTAGCCATGGATTGTGCCAAGAAAAAAATTTGCAAGTCATTTGAAAATAAGACTAGAGTTTTGAGAAACCTAGTTTGGATCATTGAGACACGATGGGAAGTCCAGATGGAGGTCAAATTATACGAGGCAGCTTTGTTTTTAAATCCGTCTAAATATTTTGATCTCAGACTAACCGATCCCACATCAGCATCAAAGTAACGATCAATGTTTAACGATGTGCTGGAAAAGATGGTCACCGATGAAACATTGCAGGCCAAGATAAGTGATCAAGCGACATATTATGACAAATTGAGAGGCAATTTTGCAAAGCAGCTCGCGATTAGGCAACAAAAATCTAAGAGTCCTCGTAAGTGATACTTTTTATTATTTTTAAAATTTAGTTTAAATATTTTAAAAATTAAATAATATTTTATTTGTGATTAATCTATAGTTGATTGGTGGGATGCTTTTGGTGGACTCGCTGTTGAGCTGCAATCGTTCGCAAAACGCATAGTTAGTCTCTGTTGTACATCTTCTGGCTGTGAGCGTAATTGGAGCACTTTTGAGTTTGTAAGTAATAGACTTACAATTTTGAATACTAACTACATATTTTAAATTACACAAGATTTTAACTAATTAAATCAAAACACTTATCAAATATATTTTTTATCTTTATTTTAGATTCATACAAAAAGAAGAAGCAGGTTAGAGCATAAGCGGTTGAATGACTTGGTTTTTATTCAATATAATCGGA